AATAATCTGACACTCTGTTATACATACATGGAAATTCAGGTTGCAATGCCCCTCTCTTCAAGAGCAGATGACAATAGAGGTACCAAGTTAAATACATCTAGATTTAGAGAAAATAATAATGATAACACAAGTCACTGTGGTGTCTGAATTTCAGCAGGAATGAGTGCATCAAGTCTATCACCACACAGTCCAGAACAATTAAGTCAGCATTTTGATCCAATGATCTAAACATATGCCATAGGGATAGTTATCAAAGGAAAAAACTATAAAACCCTGCAAATGTACTTAATTCATGATGCCCCAACAGGTCAGCTCTACTTTAAAAAATATATAATTAATATCCATGGTGATAACTTCACTCTGCTAGTAAAAATACTTTACAGGTAAACATTTTGGTGGCCACAAATATCAAATTTCTTTAGATTTCAATTCTTTCATTGTGAAAGAGATCACACAAATTTTCCTGTCTCATAGGGGTTGTGGTGAGGGTCAAATGAAGTGATACATTATAGACCTGAATAAAGTAAAAACACTAAATATACACAGTACTCCTTTGGTTCCACAGGGGATTGATTCCAGAACTCCATGGACAGCAGAATCTGTAGACGTTCAAATCTCATATTTAAAACGATGTATTATATGCATTTAATATATGCACATCTTCCTGTATATGTTTTAATGTCTAGAATGAATATACTACTAATATAGGACTTATTAAGGAATACGTTTTAGGGAGAAAGTAAGGGTAAAGGTTCTCAGTGGAAATTTTCCTGTAATAAGAAGCAACTCCCAAACCATTTCTTTTCTAACAAAAAGGCAGCTTTAAAAGCCAGGCTGGCAAGCTTTAATATGCAAATACTGACGATTAGAAACTAGGTCCACTCAACATGGTCAACACGGCAATTCCCGCCATCTTCTCCTGGTCACCACCTGTGCCAAGTGTAATGGCTACCTCCAGATAACACCAGGTGTTCGGAACATCATAGCGACCCTCATTTGCATATTAAAGGACTAAGGTGGGAGGGTCAGGTTTCTGGAAGCTACGTAAATGACATACCTGGTCAAACCAATCCCGAGTCCTATGCAAACCAGACAGTGCCTCCTCCAGCATCCCAATATAAGCAACCACTTTTCTGCCGCACATGGGGTTCCTCTTTGTTCTGAGCCCCCCTCCCTCTGTCTCTGTATGGGGGAACTGTTTTCTTCTTTCTTCTTTCTTGCCTATTAAACTTTTCATTCCTAAAACCACTCCACCTGTGTCCATGTCGTTAATCCTATCAGTGCGAGACCAAGAAACCTGGTGTTCCTCCAGTCATCAAAGCCGTATCAATACCTAATACAATGTAAATGCTATGTAACTATTGTGTTTTTACTGTATTATTTTCAATGGATATATCATTTTTATGGGTTTTTAAAACTATTTTCTTTTTTTATTTGTATACATTTAAGGGGTGCAAGTGCAATTTTGTTACATGAATATATTGCATTGTGGTGATGTCTGGGCTTTCAGTGTATCCATCAGTCAAATAATGTTCATGATGCATATTAAATACTTTCTCATCTTCCAGTCCCTTCCTTCCCCACAACCCTTCTGAGTATTCATTATCTATCATTCCATACTCTATGGAATAGATAATGATTCATTATCTATCATTCCATACTCTATGTCCATGTGTACACATTATTTAACTTCCATTTTTAAGTGAGAACATGCAGGGTTTTTTTTTTTTTTCTGTATCTAGGTTGTTTCACTTAATTAAGATAATGGCCTCCAGCTCCACCCATCTTGCTGCAGAAGACATGATTTTCTTTTTTAGAGTTGAATAGCATTCCATATGTGTGCATACGCCACATTTTCTTTATCTAATTATCTGCTGATGAATATTACAATTGGTTCTGTGTATTTCGTACTGTGAATAGTACCGTGAAACCTATGAGTGCAGATAACTTTTCATTTAATTATTTCTTTTTTGGGGAGTAGAGACACAATAGTGAGATTGCTGAATGAAATTTTCTTCAAATATTTTTGATTCACAGTTGTATGGATAGAGAAACCACCAATACACAGGGCCAAATGTACCACTATAGTATATTTTTAATAACTGGACTACCAACTCCCTTAAGCAGTAATTTAACTAAGCCACCATTTTATTTGAAACATTGAATGACATGTAGTATTTTAAAATTGTTTTTATTCAATAAACAACAAAAACAATCACAAAACTATCAAAATGTCTGCCATTATCTATCTCAATACAGAAATTGATAGATTGAATTTTTAGTGATTTGAGAGTATTGTAAGCATTGTTTTTAATTTACCTCCACCTCCCCATAAAAGTAAGCAAAGAAAATTAAATGACTTAAATCTTTAAACCATCCAATAATAAAATTTGTAATCAAAATAATCATTTTACTTTATAATCTCTTAAAGCAACAAAATTTGTTACTGTTGTGTAGCCATTATTCATTCACATAATTTCTTAGCTAACCAACTTATTTATTTTTGTTTGTTTAATAAATCATCCAGTACAAAATGATTCTTAAATTCAACATTTTTCTTGTTATTATTGTACTGATGGGAGAGTAAACTGTTATATCTCTTTTGAAAATCATCTGTACTAGGTAGCAATAATTAATATTTTAAAACAATTTTCATGAACTACTTGATAGATATGTTTAAAAAAACTATAACTCAAGTTAAAAATAAAGAAAGTATTTTTCATCATAATGTAAATTTAAATCATTATATATATATGTATGTATATACATACCTGCACATAAGTGAAAGGTTAAGTAATCTTTGGCATATCTATGTAATAGATTATTCATTTAAATTTAGATAAAACAATAAAGATTAAAAGCTATCTTTGTGTTTTTAAATTACAAATTATGAATATATATAAAGGATATATATATAGAGAGAGAGAGAGAGAGATGTATTGTAACTGAGATATATGTGCATATATATCAATCACCAGGCAGATATAATTCATACAAAGGGAATTAGACAGAAATATGAAGTATGTCAAAATATTGTTTGCATTTGTTCTGAGTGATGGGATTTTAAGTTTTCCTTTGGCTTTATATTTTTTGACACTGTTTTGAAATTTTTCTTCAATGAATAAGTAATACTTAGGTTTTTTTTTTTTTTAAAGAAGTACATTTGTCAAATCTAAAAAGAGCACTAAAATGGAGATTAGGTATTCTAGAGAATATATCAGCTCCAAGTGGAATTAAGGAGGATATAAAGTAACTCAAGTCTCTGGGCAACTAACAGTCAGTTAGGCCTCACTTCTATCTTTAGTGGAGGATTTCTACTTCAGCTAGCAGCTTCCCCCAAGTTAAAAGCAGCTCTCAAGCATTAATAAGGGCACCAAATTCATCATTATGCTCTGCAATTGCCAGCATGTGTCATTATTTTTAGGATGAGATGTAAATGCTTTGACAGCAAGCATTACTTCTTCAAAGTCTACATTTACTTAAAAAAAAAAAAAATCAAATCTATTCAAAATTGAACATTTCCTAAGAGGAAAGTACCTGAAATAGAATCTACTACTCATCTCAGGGCTCACCAGTTCGTAGCCTCCTTTTCAAAGGTGCATGGGTGAATGTCTGTGGTAACAGGTACTTCAGTGCTATCAGGTTGGTGCAAGAGTAATGGTGGTTTTTGCCTTTTTTTTTTTTTTTAATGGCAAGAACCTCAGTTACTCTTGCACCAACCTAATAGTTGAGTTTCTACTGTCTACTTCCTTGACACATCTATCTATCTGTCTATCTATTTATCAATCATCAACATATGTTTATTCAAGACTTAAACTGTGCACTGCTGATATATTAGTAGGTAAATCAGATAAGTGTGCTGCCATCAGGATGAGTGCATGAATACATTACAGCAGAAACCTTGGCTGCCTCCCACAGTAACTCCCTTTCTATTACTTATCTGCAAAAGAAACAGTCTTTCACAATAGAATCTAAAAATGCTAAGGTTTTACCTTTGCATGGATGCATAACCTAGTTTGGAGAACTTTCTAAAAAAACTCTCCTCCTTCAGAAAAAATAATGACTTTGGAGGACAAACGCCTCCTTTTTCTGCTTTGACTGTGTACATAGTTGGATGAAGACACTATCTCTCTCTCTCTCTCTCTCTCTCTCTCTCTCTTTAGTGACCATCATGATTCTATGAGGAACCAAGACTTAGAATAAATCTTTAAGTTGAGGGTTGTCACATGGAGTGATGTGGAGGACAATGCAAAACAAACCTGAGTCTTGTTGACATTGTTGAGCTATGAAATAAACTATAACATTGTCATGCTTCTGGGCCTTTTGTTATTTGAATTAATAAAAGTCCTACGGTGGAACAGTTTTTGGGGGTATTGTATATACTAAAGGAATTCTAATTCATGCAACTTCATAGTCTCTTTGTATTCAGGTCTCCTGATTTCATAAAATGTAAAATGACATGAAATAACGAGGTTTACATATAATATATCTCATATTTTAGGTCATAAAAACTTTCAACAAGTCCTGATCTTGGTAATATCTGGATGTTGACGTTTTACTAATCTATATTCAACTGGTATATTACATAGAAGTAAAACACTGAATATTGCTGAACTGTCTCATTGTCTTCCACTAACATTTATTTCTAAAACTCTGATCTGAAAAATAAATTTAAAAGATTCAAAAGTCCTTGTATGATGTACTTCACATAAGTCTCTCAGCTTAATATCTGCAACTCATGAACTCTGGGGAAGCAGGATTTGTTTTATAGACGCCTAACCTGCTGGAATGAGGCATGCTTTTGATTAAGAATGAATGTAGGAAATAATATTTCCACTTATCTCTAATTAAGCAGGCAAGAAAATAAAAGTATTTCTAAAGCAGTCAAATGCAACTCAAATTCATGAGAAATTCCAGAAATCAAATTTAAGCTAAATAATGTTCTTGATATTTTTGGTATTGGGATAGAAAGTTTCAGGGAAAAGAGAAAAGATTCTCACCTTAAATAATAAATCCTTCTTCCCATAACGAAGCTCCTTCAGCTGGGCTTGGATTTTTTTGGACTGTAAGACAAAAACATGGATAGGTTGTGTAACTCATTTATATTTTCAAACTTGAAGATTAAAATACTTTGACTTCACAGGAATACATTTTGCAGCCAAGCAAAGCACAGTCCAACTAGTTTTGAAGTAAAACAGAAAACCTTAACTCTGAGAGTTAAATTCCACTCAAATACATTTTTAAAAATTTTTTATTATACTTTAAGTTCTAGGGTACATGTGCACATTGTGCAGGTTTGTTACATATGTATACACGTGCCATGTTGGTGTGCTGCATTCATTGACTCGTCATTTACATTAGGTATATCTCCTAATGCTATCCCTCCCCCCTCCCCTGACCCCACGACAGGCCCCTGTGTGTGATGTTCCCCTTCCTGTGTCCAAGTGTTCTCATTGTTCAGTTCCCACCTATGAGTGAGAACAAGTGGTGTCTGGTTTTCTGTTCTTGTGATAGTTTGCTGAGAATGATAGTTTCCAGCTGCATCCATATCCCTACAAAGGACATGAACTCATGCTTTTTTATGGCTGCATAGTATTCCATAGTGTATATGTGACACATTTTCTTAATCCAGTCTATCACTGATGGACATTTGGGTTGGTTCCAAGTCTTTGTTATTGTGAATAGTGCCACAATAAACATACGTGTGCATGTGTCTTTACAGCAGCGTGATTTACAGTCCTTTGGGTATATATCCAGTAATGGGATGGCTGGGTCAAATGGTATTTCTAGTTCTAGATCCTTGAGGAATTGCCACACTGTCTTCCACAATGGTTGAACTACTTCACAGTCCCACCAACAGTGTAAAAGTGTTCCTATTTCTCCACATGCTCTCCAGCATCTGTTGTTTTCTGACTTTTTAATGATCACCATTCTAACTGGTGTGAGATGGTATCTCATTGTGGTTTTGATTTGCATTTCTCTGATGGCCAGTGATGATGAGCATTTTTTCATGTGTCTGTTGGCTGCATAAATGTCTTCTTTTGAGAAGTGTCTGTCCTCATCCTTCACCCACTTTTTGGTGGGGTTGTTTTTTCTTGTAAATTTGTTTGAGTTCTTTGTAGGCCCTGGATATTAGCCCTTTGTCAGATGAGTAGATTGCAAAAATTTTCTCCCATTCGTAAGTTGCCTGTTCACTCTGATGGTAGTTTCCTTTGCTGTGCAGAAGCTCTTTAGTTTAATTAGATCCCATTTGTCAGTTTTGGCTTTTGTTGCTTTTGGTATTTTAGACATGAAGTCCTTGTCCATGCCTATGTCCTGAATGGTATTACCTAGGTTTTCTTCCAGAGTTTTTATGGTTTTAGGTCTAACATGTAAGTCTCTAATCCATCTTGAATTAATTTTCGTATAAGGGGTAAGGAAGAGATCCCGTTTCAGCTTTCTACATGTGGCTAGCCAGTTTTCCCAGCACCATTTATTAAATAGGGAATCCTTTCCCCATTTCTTGTTTTTGTCAGGTCTGTCAAAGATCAGATGGTTGTAGATGTGTGGTATTATTTCTGAGGGCTCTGTTCTGTTCAAATACATTTTAATTATCAATTTTTCCTTCATGTGATCATGTTATTTATTTGCGTGCGTGTGTGTGTGTGTGTGTGTGTGTTATTATTGGTTATTGGTGACTTAAACCTTAACTTTGAGAGTCAGACCTCCAGACATCCTAGGCAGAAAGAGAAAAACCAAAGCTTGTTTAAAATATGTTATTTAAAGAAAGTTGAGTATTGTTCTTCCCCCAATCCACAACTAAACACACAGAATTTCTATCACCCAGGCATGACCAACAATCTAATTGTAGATGCTAATTACATCTGTGCATATGTATGCCTCATTTTTTACTACTTATTTTCAATTACTTTTTTTAAATTAAATGGGAGTAAATTTGAATTTGATATATGTCCAAAGTAGAAGCAAATGTGACTAGAAGCAAGAAAAGTTGCTACAATACTAATGCTGAGCTGAATGTTGTTTGCACTTTAGAGTAATACACTTTTTAAGAGGGCCATCGCAAATAGGAAAATACTTAAAAAGAAAATCTTTCTCAGTAGTATGCTTTGACTACCACATTTAATTATGTTCCCTTAAGTCACTGAATGATGATCATGTATTTTGAATTTTTCAGGACAGTCCCAATTACTAAAATTATAATATAAGGACTTCAGATTATTGTATTTCTATACCTAAAATTATAGGTTCTGATTCTTTACTCAGGCAAAAAACAAACAAAAAAAGAAAACCACCACAACCAATAACCAATAACACACATACACACACACACACACACACACACACACACACACAAATAAATAAATTAGCATGATCACGAGAAGGAAAAATTAATAATTAAAATGTATTGGAGTGGAATTATAAATTAGTATCATCACTTGGGGAAAGTGGCATTTTCTGATAAAATTAAACATATGTACACTGCATTACACTGCAATATGTCCTAGGTAATTACCCAAGAGGACACTATCATGGCGAAATATTAGCATGGTTATTTTCGAATAATAGCCAAAAGCTGAAGGAGCTATGCTATTATTAGCATGAAGTTAGGATTGTTTAGCGATATCCGGGGAATGACATGGCTATTCTAGAATACTGTTTGGAGGCACTGAAAGGGGCCATGAGGAGGTACCTGAAGTTCATGGAACAACACAGCAAAAATTTTCAAGAAAGCCGCCCGCGGTGTATTACAATGGGTGGGAAAGAATCCAGTAAACTAGAAGCTAGATATTTTGTAATAATTTCTAAATTTGCGATAACATTCCAAGAAGGCAACAGTGATAGAAAATCAGTTTAGTAGGTTGACATGGGCTAAGAGTTGGGTACAAGAGTTCGCATAATGGTAAAACAAGCAGGATATTTCGGAGCGGTAATGAAAAATTGCCTATGTTTTGAAGCTATACATTGGTCAAATCCATCAATACTGTGCTGACACTTAAACTAGATAATTAATTTGTACTGCATAAATTTATACTCTCAATAAATTAAATTTTGAAAAGAAGCTGGCCTATGGCTAAGTAAAGAACCCCATGGGGTCCTTATTGTTCACTATTACAGTCCTAGTAAACTGTGCTTTGATATATAAAGTCCTTTTAATAAACGAACATCTGCCTATAACTGTTAGAACATATAATTTTCAAGGCTTACAATGGAATATGAGTTTGTCCACTTAAGCCAACTGCAGGTTTATTGTGATTTGGTGTTTCTAATATTCAGAATTTTTTTTTTTTTTTTTTTTTTGAGATGGAGTCTTGTTCTGTTGCCTAGGCTGGGGTGCAGTGGCACATTCTCAACTCACTGCAAACTCCGCCTCCTGGGTTCAATCAATTCTCCTGCCTCAGCCTCCTGAGTAGCCGGGACTACAGGTGCACACCACCATGTCAGGCTAATTTTGTGTATTTTAGTAGGACGGGGTTTTACTGTGTTGTCCAGCCTTGTCTCAAACTCCTGAGCTCAGGTAATCTGCCCACCTTGGCATCCCAAAGTGCTTGGATTACAGAGGTGACCCACAACACCCAGGCCCAGAATATTTCTAATTATGCAATGTACTTGATTTGTGAAGTGGTAGCTGTGTTATAATGGCACAATAATTTTTCAATTTTTGTTCAATGCTATAAGTACGACTGATTTAAGTGGAAACTTGAATGTGTTGTCAATGATACACTACTACAAGGTTCTAATATCAGAAACACAGTTTTTCACAGATATTTCTATTATAAGTCAGCTGCATTTCATGATCTATTGAATCAGGAAGTTAATAAGAAAGAACAAAAAAAACAAAATGAAATAAAATTTAAAAAAAGAAAAGGAGACAGGAAGAGAAGGAGAGGGAAAGGGGGAGGTAAAGAGGAAGTGGGAGAGAGGAAAAGAAGGAAAGAGGAGGAAAGAGAGGAAGGAAGAGAGGAAAGGGAAGGGAAGGGAAGGGCAGGGAAGGAAAGAAAGGAGGGAAGGAGGGAGGGTAAGTTAAGAGTGAGAGTGAGATATGTTAATAATTCTGTATCACTTAACTCTGTACAAAGCAGCAGCAAGAATTTATGGTTTCTCACAGGGTAGTTGATTTTTTTCATTTCCACAGAAAGTCACCTTTCTTTTTATATGGATAGTGAAGGTGAAATGCATGATGCATAAGAACAACAAAAAGACATGATTTAGTATATCTACTTGTTAATGGCTTTTATGAATACAAACTCACATTGAGCCCTCAGTACCTTGACTTTATTCTTCCACTTCAGAATCACATTTATTACATCATTGTCTGTCCTCACACAGCTTCCCATGTGACTCAAGACAATATTTCAAGTACAGCATCTATGTTTTATTATGTTAATTTACTCTCTGTATTAGTCTGTTCTCACACTGCTATAAAGAAATAGCTGAGACTGTGTAATTTACAAAGGAAAGAAGCTTAATTGATTCAGTTCTGCATGGCTGGGGAGGCCTCAGGACACTTACAATCATGGTGGAAGGCACCTCTTCACAGGGCAGCAGAAGAGAAAGTGAGCGCCAGCAGGGGAAATGCCAGATGCTTATAAAACCATTGGATCTCCTGAGGACGCACTATCAAGAGAACAGCATGGGAGAAACTGCCTCCATAATTCAACTACCTCCCACCAGGTCCCTCCTATGAAATGTGCAGATTATGGTATTACAATTCAAGGTGAGATTTGGGTAGGAACAAAAAGTCAAACCATATCATTCTGCCCCAGCCCCTCCCAAATCTCATGTCCTCACATTTCAAAACAACCATGCCCTTCCAACAGACCCCAAAGTCTTAACTCATTCCAGCATTAACCCAAAAGTCCAAGTCCAACATCTCATCTGAGACAACACAATTCCCTTCTGCCTATGAGCCTGTAAAATCAAAAGCCAGTTAGTTACTTCCTAGATACAATGGGGGTATAGGCATTTGGTAAATATACCCATTACAAATGGAAGAAATTGGCCAAAACAAAGGGGCCACAGGCTGCATGCAATTCTGAAAGTCAATAGGGCGGTCATTAAACCTTAAAGTTACAAAATGATCTCCTTTGACTCCATGTCTCACATCCAGGTCATGTTGATGATAGGAATGGTGGACTCGCATAGCCTTGCACAGCGCCACCCTGTGGATTTGCAAGGTACAGCCCCCCTCCTGGCTGCTTTCATGGGCTAGCATTGAGTGCCTACGCCTTTTCCAGGTGCACAGTGCAAGCTGTCCGTGGATCTACCATTCTGGGGTCTGGGGGACGGTGACTCTCTCTCACAGCTCCACTAGGCAGTGATGCAGTGGTGACTCTGTGTGGAGCTCCAAACTCACATTTCCCTTCTGCTCTTCCCTAGAAGAGATTATCCATGTAGCTTCTGCCACTGCAGGCAATTTATGCCTGGACATCCAGGCATTTCCATACATCCTCTGAAATATAGGCGGAGGTTCCCAAATCTCAATTATTGACTTCTGTGCACCCACAGGCTCAAAACCACATGGAAGCCACCAAGGCTTGGAGCTTGCACCCTCTGAAGTAATAGTCTGAGCTGTACCTTGGTCCCTTTAAGCCACAGCTGGAGCTGAAGCAGCTGGGATTCAGGGCACCATGTCCAGAGGCTGCACAGATCTGGGAGGCCCTGGACCCAGACCATGACACCATTTTTCCCTCCTAGGCCTCTGGGCATATGATGGGAGGGGCTGCCATGAATGTCTCCACATCCCTTAGAGACATTTTCCCTATTGTCTTGGTGATTAACGTTGGGCTCCTCATTACTTATGCAAATTTCTGCCTTTGGCTTGAATTTCTCTTCAGAATTTTTTTTTTTTTTAAATTGCATTGTCAGTCTGCAAATTTTCCAAACTTTCATGCTCCACTTCCTCTTGAACACTTTGCTGCTTAGGAATTTCTTCCACCAGATACCCTAAATTATCTCTTTCAAGTTCATAAGTTCCACAGAACTCTAGGCGAGAGAATGCGTGACAGTTCCTTTTCACAACATAGCAAGTCACCTTTGCTTCATTCCCCAACAGCGCGGTCCTCATCTCCATCTGAGACCACCTTCATCCTGGACTTTTGTCCATATCATTATCAGCATTTTGATTGACACCATTCTGACAAGTTCTCTAGGAGTCCAAACCACCCACTCTTCCTGTTTTGTCTGAGCACTCCAAAGGTGGTTCCACCATCTACACTGTTACCCAGCTTCCAAAGCTCGCTTCCACATTTCCAGCGTATCTTTACCGCGCAGCACCCCATCCTGTTGCGTGTCCATTTTACCTGTCTAGTCTGATCTCACACTGACATAACGAAAACCTGAAGCTGCCATTTAACAAAGGTAGGTTAAATGCACCACCAATCCCACACTGGCTGGGGCGCCCTCCAACGATAATTACTGCTTACAATGGTCGATCATTATTCGTCATGCGCGATTGCAGTAAGGATAGATTTTGATATTCTCACAATTCAAAACGCACCAGTCTTCTCTCCTGCTGTCCAATCTCTGTCCAGGACTCCTTGCAACCAGGTCTATTTCTGAAGAAACAACTTCTTCTTTTCCCCCCCCCCAAACTAAGTTGTGAGATATAAGGAGAGTGGGACAGATAACTACTCCACACATGTGCGCACTGATTGGGCGAGAGCAAATTAGCATTCCAATTATTCCATTCAACTTCGATGCTCTCAATTCCCGTCTCAGCATGGTTGACCTTGTTAGCTATTTGAGGTGTTCATTTTCAAAATCATCAATTAAAAGTTGCGATACGTCTGAATGTACAGAATATCATTAAAATATTCACCACATAGTTGGAATTATTAGTCAAACATCAATTAATTCAATGCACTTCCATTCAGAACTGCGACATAAAACTTCTTGCATTTGATGGCCTTGAACTGACTTACATTACTTTGAGCTTTGCCTATCATAATATTATTTAAAAAATGTTAGGATTTCCTCCAGATTAGTCAATACTCTGTTCCACCGCCACTCTGTAATTTTCCCGTTCCAAGCAAAATCCTGCTGGAGCGGTGGCTCATGCGTAAATCCCAGCCACTTTGGGAGTCCACAAGGGCTCTCCCGGTGACCGAGACGAACCTATCCCCTGCTTAACAAGGTGCAACCCCGACTCCCTCAACAAAACATACAAAAATTAAGCCCGGCGGGTGTGGGGTGGGCACCTGTAGTCCAGCTACATCGGGAAGGACCTGCAGCAGCAGCGAACGGGGCGCGCGTAACCGGGCAGGTGGAGCGTGTGGTGAGGCCTTAGATGGTGCCGCTGCTCTCGCCTACGGAGCAGACCGACCCATCTCAAAAAACAAAACAAAAACAGAAAAACTTCTGAGGATTTCAGGCAAGATTACACAAAGAATAAATGCATTCTGAGTGGGTACATCTCTTTTTTATAATGTATATTAATTCAAAACCCAGCTAAAACTTAGACTTTTATTTACCTTGTTAGCAACATTTTGAAAAGTTAAAATTATCAAAAGGAGAATCTTCAAACAATTAGTGATTTTAAATACAGTTCCAGATGTTGGTGCCTGTGAGTCATAAAGTTTTCATAAGATTTCACAGCAAAATTAAAGTTGCTAATAATGATAATGTTGTCTATAATAAAATGACAAGGAAGATGAAAAAGTAGGCAGCCATGATAGGATATTTTATCTCAGTTTTTTTATCCCATTTAGGGGATTATCTTTCAGACTGAGATTTTTGCTTCCTATAATTTCATGTTCAAATGGCATTTCTTTGATGAAATAGGAATGATGATTTTGGTAGATGGTGTTTATAGTAGCTTCTCTTGTTAATGTTATCCTCTGGCAAATGAAAACAATGGCAATCTTCTGGGTGTGAACGGGATTTAGATATTTTATGCTTCTATGAACACTGACAGTTGAGGGTCACTGATCTAACAGGCAATCTCCATGTTAGCTCCTAACCAAGACAATATATTCGTATTTTTTTTTTTGGTAGTGATGGTGAATAAAATAATTAAATTTGCCACCATATTGTTTTGAAGTTGTATTGTGACAGACAAAAACACACGCCTGCCCCATTACCAAGAATGTTAAGCTCTAAATTTATTCTATAAATACATAATGACATATAGCAAATAAATTGCAATGAACCTATTACAATACATTTCAATATTAGGCAACACTAATACGTGAAGTATCTAACAATTCAGGGATAATATATTCTCCAAGGCATTGAGATGAAGAAAAAATATGAATTATTCTTGAATTGACAGACTAAACAATAAAGGTAAGCCCATTTTTACTTCCGTGTACCACAGATATTTCTCACAGGAGCTTCCTCTCTTTCATATACATGAGTGTCATGTGAATCCTGAACACATATAAATTATCTCAGAATATAACTTCAATCTAGATATTTCTTTTTCAAAACATCATTCCACCTGGTTACCCTCTTGTAATACAACCTGCACAAACCACATTTATATTATTTCTAAAACCTAAGAAATATAAACAATGCACAAGTCTATTTGTGTTCAAATAGAAAAATACAAAGAAATGAAACATTACACTAGATTAGATCTACAAACCATTTAGGCTAGTTTTTCATCTTCTGTAACATCATCTTTTAGTTTTTCTGTATTAAACATTTCTAATAATGCCATATATATTATAGGAAATATATTATAAAATTGATTGTTATATTGCATGTTGGACTTGAATGTTCGTATTTGTGTTAATGATTTTTTCTTGTTTTTCAAGGAGAGTTTTCACTTTCTTTAACAAATCTCAGTTTGGGGTGAACACAGGACTACTGACCTAGTGACATTTTCCAGAATCTCTTCGACTTAGCTCAGCATGTGACCTAGTGTTAGCAAATAGGGTACAATGAGATAGAAGAGACTATTTCCTGGGTGGACTCCTGAAAAGCAATGCTCGTGCTTCACCAGGTTATCTTCCCTTTCCCTCCTGCTGGAAGAGGATAGTGGCAGAAAAAGATATTTTTGAACCAAGGGTTGTTCCATAATTTAAAGACAATAGAGCTGTTTTAGAAGCTCTTTGCCTTACTTCTAGACAACTCTGAGACAAAGGGTAAACTCGTTTTAACTTGTGTAAGCAACTTTTCTCATTGCATCTAAACTTCCTTCCTTCCCTCTGCTTCATAGGTATAAGACATTTGTCATGATATGAAGCCACTCATGACTGTCTCTTATCATTCATAGGCTATTTCTTGAATAGATTTCTTACACATTTAATATATCTTTGTGTGTGCTTCTTGGAGGATGCAACTAAAACAGTGAATCTTGTCTCCTCTCCTTGAGGCATCAACAATTATTTAGCATGACAGTATCATTACTATTTCATTGCTATTACTAAGGTTTATATGAGCTACATTTTCACATTACAGAGATATAAGAATAGATTTGCAGATGAGAAATATAGAAAATTGATTATTTTAGTTAAATCTATATTAAGCAGAATGACATATGTCCCCCTGAGAAATATATGAGATGATTTTACTACACAGCCTACACAGCAAATAGAACCAATGAATGTATTTATTTCGTGTGGTTTATGGTCAACCCCAGAATCTTCACTCTGACAGTCAATTGCCACCACAAAACTTTATAGACATCACATAGAAGGTACAAGAGAGGAAACAACAAGGGAAATTTTATGGACTTCCAGTAATTTGCTATTAAGGAAATTCTGATAGTCTAGATAAGGAAGAAATCCAGAAAAAAAAAAATCTACAAAAGTGACCATTACCTACCTTTGTTAATTTTTTTTTCCCCCTTTTGGTTATTGCAATGTTAAAACACAAAGATACTCAAAGGTTTAAAATATATTTTTTCTATTTAAAAATTTGCATTTGTATTAGGAGGAAAAAGAGTTACCAGATGTCTGAGTTGAACAAAAATCTGGCAATAATACTGTTTTTATCTGGTTAAAGTTAGAAGAAGCAAAAATGTACTCACCTCTTCTGCATGAATGCCACAGAGCTTGTTTCCTGACAAGAGTTTGTTTTTCAAGCTTTTATTCTGAGGAAGAAAACATAGTTTTATTGCAAAGTAGAGACAAAATATTAAGGATTTCTTCAATTATGTCAGCACTACTGCTTTATGTTCTGTCCAAAAATTAGACCTTCATAATGTAAAATGTAATGGATTGGTGTAAAACTGAATCAAATCTGTAATGTAAAAGATTGTTTTTTATTCAATTAAAATTTGGCATATTAGCATTAACACATTCATTTAAAAAGGTAATTTCCAGTTTTATTCTATTGTGGGCAGAAAAGAGAATTGATGTAATTTTATTTTTTAAAAAATGTTATATATATATATATACACACACACACACATATGACCTAAAATACAGTCTATCCTGGAGAACATTCCATGTGTATGCTATAACTGTTGGGTAAAATGCTCTGTCAATGTCCATGAAGTTTAACTAGAGTTTGGTCTAGAGTACAGCTTAACTCTGATGTTTCTTTCTTTTTATTTATTTTTTTGAGATGGAGTCTCACTCCATTGTCCAGGCTGGAGTGCAATGGTATGATCTCAGATCCCTGCAACCTCTGCCTCCCAGGGTTGAAGTTATTCTCCTGCCTCAGCCTCTCAGGTAGCTGGGATTACAGATATGCATCACCACGCCTGGCAACATGCCTGTTAAAATACAAATTTTTTGTATTTTAAGTAGAGATGAGGTTTCACCATGTTGACCAGGCTGGTCTTGAACTCTGACCTCAGGTGATCTGCCTGCCTTGGCCTCCCGAAGTGCTGGGATTACAGGTATCAGTCACCGCACCTGGCCTTACTCTGATGTTTCTTTGTTGATTTTTTGTTTGGATAATATGTCTAGGTATGAAAGTGGGGTATTAAAGTACCTTACTATTCTTACATCACAATAAATATCTCCATTTAGATCTGTTATTATATATACACATAAAGATGCTCTAGTGTAGGATGCATATGTAATTGCAATTGTTATATCCTCCTACTGTAATGACTCTGTTATCATTATATAATGGCCTTATTTGTCATTTTTTATATCTTTTTTTACTGAAAGTCTATTTTATCTGATGTAAGTATAGCTACTTCTAATCTGCTTTGGTTTCCATTTGCATGGAATATCTTTTTCCATTCATTCACTTTTCGCCTGTGTATGTCTTTATAGGTGAAGTAAGTTTCTTATAAGCAGCATATATTTGAGTCTTTTTTTAGTCCATTTAACCACTTTATATACTTTAATTATATTATTTAGTTTATTTATAGTCAAGGTTACTATTGATAGGTAAGGATTTACTACTTCTGCACAGCAGAAGAAAACAATACAGTGAAGAGACAACCTGAAGGATGGGAGAAAGTATTTGTAAACTACTCAGCTGACAAAGGGTTACTGTCTAGAACAAACCAAGAACACAAATCAAAAGCAAAAATCCAATAATATGACTTACCAAAAATTGGCAAAATAGGCCAGATGCTGTGGCTCATGCCTGTAATTCCAGCACTTTGGGAGGCCGAGGTGAGATATCACAAGGTCAGGAGATCGAGACCATCCTGGCTAACACAGTGAAACCCCATCTCTACTAAAAATACAAAAAAGTTAGCCAGGCTTGGTAGCGTGTGCCTGTAGTCCCAGGTACTTGGGAGGCTGAGGCAGGAGAATGGTGTGAACCCAGGAGACGGAGTTTGCAGTGAGCCGAGATCGCACCACTGCACTCCAGCCTGGTTGGCAGAGAGAGACTCCATCTCAAAAAAAAAAAAAAAAAAAAATTAGCAATATATCTGAATAAACATTTCTCAAAGGAAGCCAAATAACTGCCAATAGATATACTAAAAATGTTAAACATTACTAATCATCAGGAAAGTGCAATGAAGCAATGAAATACTACCGCACTCAGGTTAGGATGCTTATTATCAAAAAGACAAAAAATAATAAGTACTAATGAGGATGCGGAGAAAGGGGAACTCTTATGTACAGGTGCTGGGAATGTAAATTGGTACAGCCATTATGGAAAACAGTATGGAAGTGTATCAAAAAATTAAAAATGGGTTACTATGTAATCCAGCAATCCCATTACTGGTTATATAAAAACAAATAAATGAAATCAGTATGTTGAACTCCTTGATTCTCAGAAGCCATTTCTTCTTCCAGGCCTGAGAGGTATACTCTTTCTGTGGCGAGTACATACAGATCTGTTACCCTTTAAATATCTGATAACTGACATAATTCAAAGACAGATGCTTCTTCCTCTGACACTTCTTAACCATCTGAGTCTAACTCCTCATGGCTATTTAATTGTATCTGGTTTATTGCACTCAGGCTTTTCTGTCTTTTACCCCAATAACTGAAGAACGTGGACTGTCTTTAGTTGGGCAGACTAAAGGAGAGCAGATAACTGTAAAACCCACAGGATTCAGACATCATACTGACTCTCTAGGAGTAGACAATGTCTTGGTACAAGTACATATTATACATGATGACTCTAAGGAGGGCCAACTGGATAAGCACCAGGAGCAAAATGAGCATTTAACGCAGAGCAAATGAACAAATACATCAAGTTTAAGAGTTCCCCACTTAGAATTCCAAGCTAATTTTGAACAGGGTTTTTTATTTTATTTTCCTATCATGGAGCGAGGGGGTACAGTTGTTCCAGTTTGAAAGAATACTTGGTTTTTTCCTGTTTAGCTAAAATTTGGAAATCTGAAAAGCTCAGTTAGAATTTCAATACCATGAAATGTTTTACACAAATGGGAGGAAGTTATTCTGATTTATTCAAGTAATGTCTTTTTGCAAATATTTGCACTGATCATACAAGGTACAATATTAGGGTTCTTTTTGTAAAGCGAATCTGATATACATTAATTTCATATTTGAAGAAATGTGTATCCCTAATAAAGGGATGTATACTGATATGTTCTGGCTCTGCAGTGTTGCTCAGATTGTAGCAAAATAAAACTCTTTAAAATGGAGACACAATAGGGGATGTACATTGGATAGGAATACTTATGTCCTACCAAAAACCACTCACAACTGAGAAACATTATTAGAATTAACTATAAATTAATAAATAGCACATTTAAAAGTTGGTGTCTGTAGTATATACTATTTAAAATTTGCATCTCCACTTAAAGCTATTTTTTCTTTCTTCTGTTCATTTATGTATCTATGTTTATATTCATTTATTCTTATTATTATTTGTTCATTTATTAATGCTGCTAACACTCAGGGGAAATTTTGAATGTTGATCTGAATGATATAAATTATAGCAAATACTAACTTTTATCCTTCAAAAATGGTATTATTTTATATTTTTTTCTGAGGGGGGAACATACCTGTTAACTAATATATACAACACAAGACTAATTTTTAGCATACTTTTATTTCATTGACCTGTTATCTCTGCTTGTTACACTGATTTCTCAGAATAGATTATTCCTTAATTACTTGGAGTAGGCTTTTGAACGATCAGGATGTGTCGTCAAGTTTATAGAGAAGCAAGCAGTGCTAAACATTCCACATCATTAGTGAAGCTAGAGTTTTGATAAAGACATTCCATAGAATCATTTAACTTTCTTCAATAATATTTACTCTCCACTCCCCCCAGAAAGATTAATGCTATGATAATATGAGTTGAATAATGTTAAAAATATTTATTTTCTCTGGACTTCTCACAGTCTTTTATTAGAATATTGTGCTTCGTGGACACAAAGAGGGGAACAAGAGACACTGGTGTCTACCTGAGGGTTGAGGGTAGGAGGAGGGAGAGGATCAAAAAAAAAATAACTGTTAGGTACAAGTGTTAGTACCTGGGTGCCAAAATAATCTGTACAACAAACCTCTATGACATGAGTTTACCAGTTTACTTTTATTAAAAACCTGCACATGTACCCGTGAACGTGTGCTCCTGAACTTAATTACTATTATTAGATGTTTTAATAATAATAAAATTGTTTTTAATATAAATGGTTTTCCTAAATTTGATTGACAATAAAACACTTTGGACGAAATAACTCATCTCATTACTAGAATTTGAGAAATAAAGCTGCAAGTATTAATCTATGCTTGATTTTATTAAGGGAGACCAAAATATTACATTACTATATTCTACTGAAGTTCTATTTTTCATGTTCACTAGTAAAATGATAAGAAAGGTTTGATTCAGGACTTTTGAAAAAATGTCAAGGCTATTGAAATAAGGGAGAGAGATGGGGCTCAACTCTAAAAATAGCAAAAATACAGTAAAGACAGCTGGGGATTTCTAGCCGACGAGCAGAATTATGGAGGTCAATGGATAGACAATTACTAATAGGAGCTATCATGGGTAGAGGGATTCTTGCTAAAGCTGCCTAATAGAAACCTTGCTGAAAGTCATTTGATCAGATTTAGATATCAAGGACGAGGGGAGTGTCCCAAAACTGACTTAGCAGGATCCCTGCTACAATTGGACTAGAAGAGTCTAAGACAAGACCTGAGGACAAGGCCCATTTTATAAGCAAACTCAGAGGAGTCTTTCTAAAGTTTGGTCAAGAAGTCTTTGGGAATAGTGCTTTCTGTGCCCTAAGAAATGTTTGTTTACTTCAAAGTCATGAAGAATTTTTTCTCAAATAGTTTTCTTAAAGTTTTATAGTTTTGGGGTATACTCTTTTGTGTAATCCTCTTCAAGTTACCTTTTTTTTTTTTTTTTTTTAATGAAGTGAGGTAAGGGTCAAGGTTCACTTTTAGTTTGTATTGCAAACATCCAGTTGCTTGTGCACCAATTGTTGAAGAAGTGCTCCTTTGTACATTGAAATATATAAGAGCCTTTGTCAAAAATCAATTAATAACTCCTTTAGCCAATATGAAGCATCTAGCCTCAGACAAGCCCTCTTGCCATAAAGAACAAGATAACTAGACAGAATATAATAAAACAAATGTTTAAGACAGTAGACAACCACTACTGCCAGACTATCGTACTAAAGAGAGGAGAAGTAGGCAAGAAATCCCTGCAGTTGCTCTTCTTTGTCTGTTTTTTGTTGTTGTTGTTGTTTGTTTG